GAAACTCTACCGACGCTCTACCGAAAATCTACCGACGCTCTACCGACCGACGCTCTACCGAAACTCTACCGACGCTCTACCGACCAACGCTCTACCGACGCTCTACCGAAACTCTACCGACGCTCTACCGACGCTCTACCGAAACTCTACCGACGCTCTACCGACACTCTTCCGACGCTCTACCGACGCTCTACAGAAACTCTACCGACGCTCTACCGAAACTCTACCGACCAACGCTCTACCGACGCTCTACCGAAACTCTACCGACGCTCTACCGAAACTCTACCGACCAACGCTCTACCGACGCTCTACCGACCGACGCTCTCCCGACGCTCTACCGACGCGGCAATCGACGTACATAACGTATACAAAAACGCATCAACCCCAAGGTCCCCGAGCTGAAAGTGAGGGTTCATTTTGTGGCATTTGAGTATCCCTATTCAAAGGCAATTTGCATGAAATACTTTATGTCAATATACCAGTCATAAAACATCCTTGGTACGTGCAAGCAATGGTTGATACTTGTCACGTGACCGGATATAACCCCTTTCAACCGCCTCTCACGAGAAGCCAAAGTATGCTGGAGATATATTCCAAAGGATCGTATGTTTTTTGTGTATTATTCCCAATATAGAATATAAGAAATTTTGACAATCTGGAGACACAGCCGGCTAGTAACCCCAATTACCTCTTTACAAACAAACAAAAGAAAACACGTCCACTCTAAAGATGCATTCCTAACAGTTCACCGCAACGCCGTTACTATAGTTGTTGACGGTTACTATGGCAACCAAGTGATAAACATAACTGATAAACAGTATACAGTTACATTTCCCTTTCACTTCAATTAATGATTAGTTGAACAGTTTCATATGCTATACTGGCATGTATTCTCTGTAATTCCACGATATTTCAGCTGTTTGACAACTGCCCGTAATTACCCGAGTATAGACCAGACAATCCAGTGATAGTGCGAGCAGCCACCGACGTTGTGGGGAGGCACTGTACCATGTCACTGAACATGTTAATCCGAACCCATTAGCCACTTAACGTGTCCATCCAATCCCGTTAGTCACTAAACATGTCCATCCAATCCCGTTAGTCACTACACATGTTAATCCAGTCCCGTTAATCACTAAGTAAGTAAGTAAGTAAGTAAATATGTCCATCCGATCCCGATACTCACTAAACATATCCATCCAATCCCATTTGTCACTAAGCTTATCCATCCAATCCCGTAGTCACTAAACATGTCCATCCGATCACGTTAGCCACTAAACATGTCCCTGTCGTTCCGTTAGTCACTAAATATGTCCATCCGATCCCGATACTCACTAAACATATCCATCCAATCCCATTTGTCACTAAGCTAACCATCCAATCCCGTAGTCACTAAATATGTCCATCCGATCCCGTTAGCCACTAAACATGTCCATCCGATCCCGTAGGCCACTAAACATGTCCATCCGATCCGTTAGTCACCAAGCTTGTACATCCGATCCGGTTAGTCACTAAACATATCCATCCAATCCCAGTTGTCACTAAGCATGTCCATCCAATCCCGTAGTCACTAAACATGTCCATCCGGTGCGTCAGTCACTAAACATGTCCATCCAATCCCGTAGTCACTAAGCATGTCCATCCAATCCCGTAGTCACTAAACATGTCCATTAAATCCCATAGTCACTAAACATGTCCATCCGGTGCGTCAGTCTCTAAACATGTCCATCCAATCCCGTAGTCACTAAACATGTCCATCCGGTGCGTCAGTCACTAAACATGTCCATCCAATCCCGTAGTCACTAAGCATGTCCATCCAATCCCGTAGTCACTAAACATGTCCATTAAATCCCATAGTCACTAAACATGTCCATCCGGTGCGTCAGTCTCTAAACATGTCCATCCAATCCCGTAGTCACTAAGCATGTCCATTCAATCCCGTAGTCACTGAACATGTCCATCCAATCCCGTAGTCACTAAACATGTCCATCCAATCCCGTAGTCACTAAACATGTCCATCCGGTGCGTCAGTCTCTAAACATGTCCATCCAATCCCGTAGTCACTAAGCATGTCCATCCAATCCCGTAGTCACTAAACATGTCCATCCGGTGCGTCAGTCACTAAACATGTCCATCCAATCCCGTAGTCACTAAGCATGTCCATCCGGTGCGTCAGTCACTAAGCATGTCCATCAAATTCCGTAGTCACTAAACATGTCCATCCAATCCCGTAGTCACTAAACATGTCCATCCAATCCCGTAGTCACTAAACATGTCCATCCGGTGCGTCAGTCACTAAACATGTCCATCCGATCCGTTAGTGACTAAACATGTCCATCCGATCTTTTTAGTCACTAGACCGCCTCCGTGGTGTTGTGGTGTAGTGGTTAGAGCGTCCACCCGGAGAGCGATAGGTCGCGGGTTCCATCCCCGACAGCGTCATACCAAAAGACGTTAAAATATGGTACTTGTTGGTCCCTGTCTGGCGCTCGGCATTAATGGGTACAACAAGGAATGGTCGGCTCGGAGTCTTTATAATGTGTCTGAGTGGGGTATTCATGCTTCACTGCGGCATGGTATCTCAATGGGCTAGCACTATAAAACCAGCTTCAGTCTGGACTAGTACAAGCAGCCGCACATACACATACACACGCATGCACATCGTCATATGAGCGAAATATTCTCAAGCACGACATTAAACCCAATTTCACCTCACCTTTTAGTCACTAAACATGTCCATCCGATCCCGTTAGTCACTAAAAGTACCTATCCGATCCCGATAGTCTCTGAACATGCCTGTCCGAACCTGTTAGTCCTGTTTGACATGTGAGTTCCTAAGTTTATTTTATTGTAGGTTGTTATACAGGTTATATCTCAGTGTCTATTCTACAGCTGCTGTCTATCGGACTACTGGTGTTTGGACTGTAGGTTGTTATACAGGTTATATCTCAGAGTCTATCATACAGCTGCTGTCTATTGGACTACTTGTGTTCGGACTCTAGATTGTTATACAGGTTATATCTCAGCGTCTATCCTGTAGCTGCTGTCTATCGGTCTACTGGTGTTTGGACTGTAGGTTGTTATAAAGGTTATATCTAAGTGTCTATCCTCCAGCTGCTGTCTATCGGTCTACTGGTGTTTGGACTGTAGTTTGTTATACAGGTTATATCTCAGTGTCTATCCTACAGCTGCTGTCTATCGGACTACTGGTGTTTGGACTGTAGGTTGTTATATAGGTTATATATCAGTGTCTATCCTACAGCTGCTGTCTATCGGACTACTGGTGTTTGGACTGTAGGTTGTTATAAAGGTTATATCTCAGTGTCTATCTTGCAGCTGCTGTCTATCGGACTACTGGTGTTTGGACTGTAGTTTGTTATACAGGTTATATCTCAGTGTCTATCCTACAGCTGCTGTCTATCGGACTACTGATGTTTGGACTGTAGGTTGTTATAAAGGTTATATCTCAGTGTCTATCCTGCAGCTGCTGTCTATCGGACTACTGGTGTTTGGACTGTAGGTTGTTATACAGGTTATATCTCAGTGTCTATCCTGCAGCTGCTGTCTATCGGACTACTGGTGTTTGGACTGTAGGTTGTTATACAGGTTATATCTCAGTGTCTATCCTACAGCTGCTGTCTATCGGACTACTGATGTTTGGACTGTAGGTTCTTATAAAGGTTATATCTCAGTGTCTATCCTGCAGCTGCTGTCTATCGGACTACTGGTGTTTGGACTGTAGGTTGTTATACAGGTTATATCTCAGTGTCTATCCTGCAGCTGCTGCCCATCGGACTACTGGTGTTTGGACTGTAGGTTGTTATACAGGTTATATCTCAGTGTCTATCCTGCAGCTGCTGTCTATCGGACTACTGGTGTTTGGACTGTAGGTTGTTATACAGGTTATATCTCAGTGTCTATCCTACAGCTGCTGTCTATCGGACTACTGGTGTTTGGACTGTAGGTTGTTATACAGGTTATATCTCAGTGTCTATCCTGCAGCTGCTGTCTATCGGACTGCTGGTGTTTGGACTGTAGGTTGTTATGCAGGTTATATCTCAGTGTCTATCCTGCGGCTGCTGTCTATCGGACTACTGGTGTTTGGACTGTAGGTTGTTATACAAGTTATATCTCAGTGTCTATCCTACAGCTGTTGTCTATCGGACTACTGGTGTTTGGACTGTAGGTTGTTATACAGGTTATATCTCAGTGTCTATCCTGCAGCTCTCTGTCTATCGGACTACTGGTGTTTGGACTGTAGGTTGTTATGCAGGTTATATCTCAGTGTCTATCCTCCAGCTGCTGTCTATCGATCTACTGGTGTTTGGACTGTAGGTTGTTATGCAGGTTATATCTCAGTGTCTATCCTGCAGCTGCTGTCTATCGGTCTACTGGTGTTTGGACTGTAGGTTGTTATGCAGGTTATATCTCAGTGTCTATCCTGCAGCTGCTGTCTATCGGACTGCTGGTGTTTGGACTGTAGTTTGTTATACAGGTTATATCTCAGTGTCTATCCTGCAGCTGCTGTCTATCGGACTGCTGGTGTTTGGACTGTAGTTTGTTATACAGGTTATATCTCAGTGTCTATCCTGTAGCTGCTGTCTATCGGACTGTTGGTGTTTGGACTGTAGGTTGTTATACAGGTTATATCTCAGTGTCTATCCTGCAGCTGCTGTCTATCGGACTACTGGTGTTTGGACTGTAGGTTGTTATGCAGGTTATATCTCAGTGTCTATCCTGCAGCTGCTGTCTATCGGACTACTGGTGTTTGGACTGTAGTTTGTTATACAGGTTATATCTCAGTGTCTATCCTACAGCTGCTGTCTATCGGCCTGCTGGTGATAGGGTTGCTTGTGGAATACAACCAAGACATCTTGGACGACGTGCTAGGAATGGTCACAGACATGCTGAAGGGGTCACTGGACCAGCTCAAGCAGGCCGCCGGGGACCACCTGCCAGCCGCCTTCAGGGCCAGCATTTCAGCAGATGAAATAAAGAACATGATCAAAGAACTCATCCAGAATATCAGCATGCCTCTCATTGCCGTCAGCTCAACCTTCATCGTCATTTCCGGTTCCGGTGTACTTGGGGGTTGTTGCAGTTCTAAATGCTTCCTGGTGTTGGTAAGTCATCATTTCGATACAACCAGGGCCTCCTCCTACAGCTCAGCCAGCAGCTTCAGTCGATAAACATATGTATCTGCAATGAGTGAGTGAGGGAGTGAGTGAGTGAGTGAGTGCGTGAGTGAGTGAGTGAGTGAGTGAGTGAGTGAGTGAGTGAGTGAGTGAGTGCGTGAGTGAGTGAGTGAGAAAGGGGTTAGGGAGATTCACTTCAATGACAAAAGAAATCAGGTTTATACATTGTGCCAATGTGTGGAATCGAACCCGTGTATTTGACGCGACACCTTCCCTACTGGGCTCCTCGCCGCCCTACACACATACAGAATAGATCGCGTGTGGGTTTCTCTGTTGAGAGTGTGAGCTGTCACGTAACGCGCTTATAGTCATTGGGAGAAGAGTGTTTATGCTATCTTTATCAGGACTAGTAATACCTGTAGTTAATTGTTTGGATGAAAACAATCTTTGGAGAACGTTGTGTTAGAATAGCTGATCGTTTTTCGCACGAATGCGTAACTGTAAATGTGCAACGAACAGAGTCGCTGTTTAGAAATCCTTCAATCTGCATACACATGCACGCCCTGATAAACATCATTGCCCCATGTTGATCTGACAGGTTATAGAGTGTTGCTGAGGACATTTATCAGATAAAATGTGTTTACATATGCCTGTACCTTCTAATGACCGAGCGGACAACTGTTTCTTCATGTTTACTGTGGTCCTGACGATTTAGTACCCCTCCCCATCCCTTCATCCCAAACCCCTCACACTGTTCCCGTATACAGTACACCTGGTTGTTATCACTGTTATCACACTCACTTGTACTGTGTTTTCCAAACAGTACTGTGTATTCCTGGTTGTTATCACTGTTATCACACTCACCTGTACTGTGTTTTCCCAACAGTACTGTGTATTCCTGGTTGTTATCACTGTTATCACACTCACCTGTACTGTGTTTTCCCAACAGTACTGTGTATTCCTGGTTGTTATCACTGTTATCACACTCACCTGTACTGTGTTTTCCTAACAGTACTGTGTATTCCTGGTTGTTATCACTGTTATCACACTCACCTGTACTGTGTTTTCCCAACAGTACTGTGTATTCCTGGTTGTTATCACTGTTATCACACTCACCTGTACTGTGTTTTCCTAACAGTACTGTGTATTCCTGGTTGTAATCACTGTTATCACACTCACCTGTACTGTGTTTTCCTAACAATACTGTGTATTCCTGGTTGTTATCACTGTTATCACACTCACCTGTACTGTGTTTTCCTAACAATTTTGTGTATTCCTGTTTGTTATCACTGTTATCACACTCACCTGCACTGTGTTTTCCTAACAGTACTACGTATTCCTGGTTGTAATCACTGTTATCACACTCACCTGTACTGTGTTTTCCTAACAATACTGTGTATTCATGGTTGCTATCACTGTTATCACACTCACCTGTACTGTGTTTTCCCAACAGTACTGTGTATTCCTGGTTGTTATCACTGTTATCACACTCACCTGTACTGTGTTTTCCTAACAATACTGTGTATCCCTGGTTGTTATCACTGTTATCACACTCACCTGTACTGTGTTTTCCTAACAATACTGTGTATTCATGGTTGTTATCACTGTTATCACACTCACCTGTACTGTTTTTCCTAACAATTTTGTGTATTCCTGGTTGTTATCACTGTTATCACACTCACCTGTACTGTGTTTTCCCAACAGTACTGTGTATTCCTGGTTCTTATCACTGTTATCACACTCACCTGTACTGTGTTTTCCTAACAGTACTGTGTATTCCTGGTTGTTATCACTGTTATCACACTCACCTGTACTGTGTTTTCCTAACAATACTGTGTATTCCTGGTTGTTATCACTGTTATCACACTCACCTGTACTGTGTTTTCCTAAAAATACTGTGTTTTCATGGTTGTTATCACTGTTATCACACTCACCTGTCCTGTGTTTTCCTAACAATATCCTGTATTCCTGGTTGTTATCACTCTTATCACACTCACCTGTACTGTGTTTTCTTAACAGTACTGTGTATCCATGGTTGTTATCACTGTTATCACACTCACCTGTACTGTGTTTTCCTAACAATACTGTGTATTCCTTGTTGTTATCACTGTTATCACACTCACCTGTACTGTGTTTTCCTAACAATTTTTGTATTCCTGGTTGTTATCACTGTTATCACACTCACCTGTACTGTGTTTTCCCAACAGTACTGTGTATTCCTGGTTGTTATCACTGTTATCACACTCACCTGTACTGTGTTTTCCTAACAATACTGTGTATTCCTGGTTGTTATCACTGTTATCAAACTCACTTCTACTGTGTTTTCCCATCAGTACTGTGTATTCCTGGCAGTTATCACTGTTATCACACTCACCTGTACTGTGTTTGCCTAACAATATTGTGAATTCCTGGTTGTTATCACTGTTATCACATTAACCTGTACTGTGTTTTCCCAGCAGTACTGTGTATTCCTTGTTGTTATCACTGTTATCCCACTCACCTGTACTGTGTTTTCCTAACAGTACTGTGTATTCCTGGTTGTTATCACTGTTATCACACTCACCTGTACTGTGTTTTCCCAACAGTACTGTGTATTCCTGGTTGTTATCACTGTTATCACACTCACCTGCACTGTGTTTTCCTAACAGTACTACGTATTCCTGGTTGTAATCACTGTTATCACACTCACCTGTACTGTGTTTTCCTAACAATACTGTGTATTCATGGTTGTTATCACTGTTATCACACTCACCTGTACTGTTTTATCTAACAATTTTGTGTATTCCTGGTTGTTATCACTGTTATCACACTCACCTGTACTGTGTTTTCCCAACAGTACTGTGTATTCCTGGTTCTTATCACTGTTATCACACTCACCTGTACTGTGTTTTCCTAACAGTACTGTGTATTCCTGGTTGTTATCACTGTTATCACACTCACCTGTACTGTGTTTTCCTAACAATACTGTGTATTCCTGGTTGTTATCACTGTTATCACACTCACCTGTACTGTGTTTTCCTAAAAATACTGTGTTTTCATGGTTGTTATCACTGTTATCACACTCACCTGTCCTGTGTTTTCCTAACAATATCCTGTATTCCTGGTTGTTATCACTGTTATCACACTCACCTGTACTGTGTTTTCTTAACAGTACTGTGTATCCATGGTTGCTATCACTGTTATCACACTCACCTGTACTGTGTTTTCCTAACAATACTGTGTATTCCTTGTTGTTATCACTGTTATCACACTCACCTGTACTGTGTTTTCCTAACAATTTTGTGTATTCCTGGTTGTTATCACTGTTATCACACTCACCTGTACTGTGTTTTCCCAACAGTACTGTGTATTCCTGGTTGTTATCACTGTTATCACACTCACCTGTACTGTGTTTTCCTAACAATACTGTGTATTCCTGGTTGTTATCACTGTTATCAAACTCACTTCTACTGTGTTTTCCCATCAGTACTGTGTATTCCTGGCAGTTATCACTGTTATCACACTCACCTGTACTGTGTTCTCCCAACAGTACTGTGTATTCCTGGTTGTTATCACTGTTATCACACTCACCTGAATTGTGTTTTCCTAACAGTACTGTGTATCCCTGGTTCTTATCACTGTTATCACACTCACCTGTACTGTGTTTTCCTAACAATACTGTGTATTCATGGTTGTTATCACTGTTATCACACTCACCTGTACTGTGTTTTCCTAAAAATACTGTGTTTTCATGGTTGTTATCACTGTTATCACACTCACCTGTACTGTGTTTTCCTAACAATATTCTGTATTCCTGGTTGTTATCACTGTTATCACACTCACCTGTACTGTGTTTTCTTAACAGTACTGTGTATCCATGGTTGTTATCACTGTTATCACACTCACCTGTACTGTGTTTTCCTAACAATACTGTGTATTCCTTGTTGTTATCACTGTTATCACACTCACCTGCACTGTGTTTTCATAACAATACTGTGTATTCCTGGTTGTTATCACTGTTATCACACTCACCTGTACTGTGTTCTCCCAACAGTACTGTGTATTCCTGGTTGTTATCACTGTTATCACACTCACCTGAATTGTGTTTTCCTAACAGTACTGTGTATCCCTGGTTCTTATCAATGTTATCACACTCACCTGTACTGTGTTTTCCTAACAATACTGTGTATTCATCGTTGTTATCACTGTTATCACACTCACCTGTACTGTGTTTTCCTAACAATACTGTGTATTCCTTGTTGTTATCACTGTTATCACACTCACCTGTACTGTGTTTTCCTAACAATTTTGTGTATTCCTGGTTGTTATCACTGTTATCACACTCACCTGTACTGTGTTTTCTTAACAGTACTGTGTATCCATGGTTGTTATCACTGTTATCACACTCACCTGTACTGTGTTTTCCTAACAATACTGTGTATTCCTTGTTGTTATCACTGTTATCACACTCACCTGTACTGTGTTTTCCTAACAATATCCTGTATTCCTGGTTGTTATCACTGTTATCACACTCACCTGTACTGTGTTTTCCCAACAGTACTGTGTATTCCTGGTTGTTATCACTGTTATCACACTCACCTGTACTGTGTTTTCCTAACAATACTGTGTATTCCTTGTTGTTATCACTGTTATCACACTCACCTGTACTGTGTTTTCCTAACAGTACTGTGTATTCCTGGTTGTTATCACTGTTATCACACTCACCTGTACTGTGTTTTCCCAACAGTACTGTGTATTCCTGGTTGTTATCACTGTTATCACACTCACCTGCACTGTCTTTTCCTAACAGTACTACGTATTCCTGGTTGTAATCACTGTTATCACACTCACCTGTACTGTGTTTTCCTAACAATACTGTGTATTCATGGTTGTTATCACTGTTATCACACTCACCTGTACTGTTTTATCTAACAATTTTGTGTATTCCTGGTTGTTATCACTGTTATCACACTCACCTGTACTGTGTTTTCCCAACAGTACTGTGTATT